TTTGTACAGTGAGAGACAGAATAACAAAAAAAAATCCAGAAAAACACATGTCAAAAATGTTATAAATTGATCTGCATTTTAATGAGGGAAACAAGTATTTGACCCCCTCTCAATCAGAAAGATGTCTGGCTCCCAGGTGTCTTTTATACAGGTAACGAGCTGAGATTAGGAGCACACTCTTAAAGGGAGTGCTCCTAATCTCAGTTTGTTACCTGTATAAAAGACACCTGTCCACTGAAGCAATCAATCAATCAGATTCCAAACTCTCCACCATGGCCAAGACCAAAGAGCTCTCCAAGGATGTCAGGGACAAGATTGTAGACCTACACAAGGCTGGAATGGGCTACAAGACCATCGCCAAGCAGCTTGGTGAGAAGGAAAAGAACTGTCAATCTCCCTCAGCCTGGGGCTCCATGCAAGATCTCACCTCGTGGAGTTGCAATGATCATGAGAACGGTGAGGAATCAGCCCAGAACTACGCGGGAGGATCTTGTCAATGATCTCAAGGCAGCTGGGACCATAGTCACCAAGAAAACAATTGGTAACAAACTACGCCGTGAAGGACAGTGCCCGCAAGGTCCCCCTGCTCAAGAAAGCACATATACAGGCCCGTCTGAAGTTTGCCAATGAACATCTGAATGATTCAGAGGAGAACTGGGTGAAAGTGTTGTGGTCAGATGAGACCAAAATCGAGCTCTTTGGCATCAACTCAACTCGCTGTGTTTGGAGGAGGAATGCTGCCTATGACCCCAAGAACACCATCCCCACCATCAAACATGGAGGTAGAAACATTATGCTTTGGGGGTGTTTTTCTGCTAAGGGGACAGGACAACTTCACTGCATCAAAGGGACGATGGACGGGGCCACGTACCGTCAAATCTTGGGTGAGAACCTCCTTCCCTCTGCCAGGGCATTGAAAATGGGTCGTGGATGGGTATTCCAGCATGACAATGACCCAAAACACACGGCCAAGGCAACAAAGGAGTGGCTCAAGAAGAAGCACATTAAGGTCCTGGAGTGGCCTAGCCAGTCTCCAGACCTTAATCCCATAGAAAGTCTGTGGAGGGAGCTGAACGTTCAAGTTGCCAAACGTCAGCCTTGAAACCTTAATGACTTGGAGAAGATCTGCAAAGAGGAGTGGAACAAAATCCCTCCTGAGATGTGTGCAAACCTGGTGGCCAACTACAAGAAACGTCTGACCTCTGTGATTGCCAACAAGGGTTTTACCTCCAAGTACTGAGTCATGTTTTGCATACTTATTTCCCTCATTAAAATGCAAATCAATTTATAACATTTTTGACATGCGTTTTTCTGGATTTTGTTGTTGTTATTCTGTCTCTCACTGTTCAAATACATCTACCATTAAAATTATAGACTGATCAAGTCTTTGTCAGTGGGCAAACGTACAAAATCAGCAGGGGATCAAATACTTTTTTTCCCTCACTGTAGTTCTCCAGACAAAGTGGGCTCCATTGCAAAACTCATCAGGTACCAACTTCGTTAGCTTGATAGCTAGCAGCTTAGCGTCTCTGTTAAGCAGGCTTCAACCTATCAGTTTAGCGAGATTCCGGGACAAGAGATAGTGGTCCTAGCTGGTAAAAGCTAACTGCGATGCAAAAACACGTTCGGTATTTATGTTTAACAAAGATTGGTTATGTTTTAGTTAAAATAACAAACCGAGTGTTTCCAGCAGACAGTGTTCAGCAGCGCACTCTGATGACGTCAGTTCACCATACCCAAGAAGCCTCAAGGTTTATAAACTCATGACATGGCACAAGTGGCCTCTATTGTGCTCTATTGCTCCTCTATTGTTCCCGCAAGCAAGGGGGGAGGCCGATGACATTAGAGAGCACCCATCAGACCAACTCCTTCCATTGCCAATTCCTTGAATTTCACAATTGTGTCTAGAAAAACACAATTTTTTTTAACGCTTAAATGTGTGTACTTTACTGTATTAATACTGGGAATATACGTTTTCAACAGAAAAAGTAAAATAAATAGCTGGAGTGCGTCTTTAATGTATTGCCTGTGGTATGCTTGTCTCTTGCTTGACAGACTGATTTAGCCTAATTGTTAATTGTTGCATGGAGTATAAAGAAGCAATATGGCAGACACACAGTACTTATCTCTAAAAGCTAAATGGATATTGTATAATCAATTTAGTTATGTTAATAGTATGGTCAAGAAACCCTGTAATAATAACAATATTCAGAATGCTGCTTCAAAACATTTATTTGTCACGAAATAACACAGCTTCTTTTAGACTTTATACAACAAAAAATACTTACATTTTAAATGTGCAAGTACAGAGTACATAGGTAGTCAGACCTCATAGCGCACTGTGCTTACTGGAACACAAAAGACAGAGACCGTATCTCAACAAATATGTGTATGTGACCAATACAATTTTGATTTGATAGAGGTGAGGAAATGTTCAGCTTGCCAAAAGCACCATAGTGTCAACACCTGTCACTTGCCCACGCAGGAAAAACAGAGACACACTGGTAGAGAGACACATACAGTAGTTTGCAGTTAAAATCTTAAACAATGTGCAAAGTTGTACAAAAATCTATTAAATATTTTGTTATCCCCACATCCACCAACATTTAATTATTTAAAAGGCTGTATCTGTTGTTGAAATCAATTGAATGGAATATAGTAATAGTATAGTAATTTACGATATAATATCCTATGAATAAATACTGAGATTATAATAGGGAAAACGACTTGGATAGAAGAGAAACGCTACCTGAACAACTAAAGTTGTTTAGATTTCATGTAAGCTTTGGGAATCATTCTGTATTCATGAAAACATCTTTAAGGCCATTGGTTGCTTGAGTCATATATTTACATAAACAAATGTATGTTTAAAATATGTATGTTTACAATAACTAATAAATAGTGATAAATAAGAGACAAAACAAACATGTTTTTGAGTACAACACTTAGGTGAGCTACAGACACTTGTGAGGTTGGTAGCTGGTAGTGGGGGAATCATGCTTATTCTTCATCATTCTAAGGACTGTGATATATAGAAAACGCTAATAACATCAAGGCAATGTTGTTGTTACATTATTATAACACAGATAAATGGTAGATGTTTTACCGCAATCTCCAAACGTGACAAACAGGCAAATCTACACCTTATAGGTAACAAAATAATCAGTTCTCAGGACATGACTGAAAACTTTAGCAATGGGAATGTTATGATTATCATGTTGAGACATTGTTACATTGTCATCACATCTTACTGCCCTCTCAGACACTGTGCATTCAGACAGGGTAGTGAGTAACTGGTGGTGAGAGTGCAATCCCTCTTTGAGGCAGTCAGTGTAATCCAGCACTGTGAGTGTGAGTGATCTGTGCATGTGTGTAATCTAGGTCAAGCTATTGGGCAGCCGCAGGGACTGCTGCAAATCTGTCGGATTACAGAGGCCTCATGAGGACAAGGGATGTCCTATGGCTGGCATAGTCTGACAAAACACCCAATCCCTGTTTGTTAATATGCGTCTAAGCAGCAGCACCACCAAATACCCTGTTCAGGTACATCATGCACTGGGTTTGTGCTTGCTTTACAAAAAGCATATATTAAAACATATGTTTATAACTCTTGTCTCGCGTTATCCCTCTTGTGGTCCTCTGTAGCTCAGCTGGTAGAGCACGGCGCTTGTAACGCCAAGGTAGTGGGTTCGATCCCCGGGACCACCCATAAACAAAAATGTATGCACGCATGACTGTAAGTCGCTTTGGATAAAAGCATCTGCTAAATGGCATATTATTATTATTATTATTATTATTGTGAATGAGGAGAAATGAGAACAAAACAATAGCTAGAATAATCCAGGTGCTTTTTTATCAGATGGTTGTATAATCTAATCTCATGCTAGCACACAGAAGGGGAATGGGCCGCTGTCTAGTTATTGTGCATGGGAAAAACCCATTCTCAGTAGAGATTAAGTTGATTGAGACTGCAATCTCATGTGATGGAGACAGAGAGCATTAACAAGTGGAGTCGGGTCATTAGGATATGAAACGAGATACAAAAACATCCCAAAATAGAACATAATATGTGTGTGATATGCCATCATCAGTGAAATGCAAAACTAAAATGATATAAAATATACTGTTTCACAGCTCAGAAACTACATGAAACAGATCAAGTCCTAAATAATCATTAAAACAGAAAATGTATGTAAATGATTTGCGTTTGGCTGAGCAGCCACCAGGGGTTGTAAGTGGACCCACCTGATCCACTGACAGAACCTAGACTCTCCTCAGGCGAGAATAATGCTTTTGTGTGTGTGTGTGTGTGTGTGTGTGTGTGTGTGAGAGAGAGAGAGAGAGAGAGAGAGAGAGAGAGAGAGAGAGAGAGAGAGATAGAGAGAGAGAGAGAGAGAGAGAGAGAGAGAGAGAGAGAGAGAGCGAGAGAGAATGCAAATGTGAATATGTGTTTGTACATGGGTGTGTGTAAACAAAGGTCCACTCATTCCAGTGCTTGCAAAACAAACATGCAGCAAATTAACTGTTAATACATCATGACTCAATGTATGCTATGATCAAAAGCACCTTTCTACTTCCAAACACATTCAATTGTGAGTGACAGATAGACGTTAAAAAGGGGATCAATTGAGGAGTTGAGAGCAATGCCAACAAGGAAATAACACATGTGCTGGTTTATCTACCATTTAAAATAAATATAAATACAGTGATTAAAACCAATAGCAATATCCTAAACAATGCTAGATAGCTTTATTACTATGTTCCCATATTAACAGATAAATTATGTTAAAATAAATATGTTTCATAATGAGAGTCCCATCGTGTGATGTGTGCTTATTAATGCAGAAAAACAGAGCCTTGTGGCAGTACACACTGACTGTATGAGGCCAGTCACGAGAGAGGAGTCAGAGGAGAAGAGAGTGAGGTAATGTATGAGCAGGAGCAGATAGATGATAATGGCCCACTGAAATAAAAATGGCTCCCTTCCTAGTTCCTACACATCATCTCTTTGCCTGCTGCTCTTCAGCAGACGGGGCGGGGGAGGGGGTGGTGTGGAGGGCGCTGGCGTCCCCATGTCCGTTCGGCTTCACTGACTGGACTGTCTCTACCAGGCTGCCACTTGGGAGCACCACGTACCTGGCAGCCATATCCTTGGGCTGCAGCTCCCTCAGGCCCTCCTTACTGTGCCAGATCCCATAGCCAAAATACACCAGTAGACCTAGAGAGGTGCAACACATACTGTTAGGACCAAAACACATGCTTACATACAGTGGGGGAAAAAAGTATTTAGTCAGCCACCAATTGTGCAAGTTCTCCCACTTAAAAAGATGAGAGAGGCCTGTAATTTTCATCATAGGTACACGTCAACTATGACAGACAAATTGAGAGAGAAAAAATCCAGAAAATCACATTGTAGGATTTTTAATGAATTTATTTGCAAATTATGGTGGAAAATAAGTATTTGGTCACCTACAAACAAGCAAGATTTCTGGCTCTCACAGACCTGTAACTTCTTCTTTAAGAGGCTCCTCTGTCCTCCACTCGTTACCTGTATTAATGGCACCTGTTTGAACTTGTTATCAGTATAAAAGACACCTGTCCACAACCTCAAACAGTCCCACTCCAAACTCCACTATGGCCAAGACCAAAGAGCTGTCAAAGGACACCAGAAACAAAATTGTAGACCTGCACCAGGCTGGGAAGACTGAATCTGCAATAGGTAAGCAGCTTGGTTTGAAGAAATCAACTGTGGGAGCAATTATTAGGAAATGGAAGACATACAAGACCACTGATAATCTCCCTCGATCTGGGGCTCCACGCAAGATCTCACCCCGTGGGGTCAAAATGATCACAAGAACGGTGAGCAAAAATCCCAGAACCACACGGGGGGACCTAGTGAATGACCTGCAGAGAGCTGGGACCAAAGTAACAAAGCCTACCATCAGTAACGCACTACGCCGCCAGGGACTCAAATCCTGCAGTGTCCCCCTGCTTAAGCCAGTACATGTCCAGGCCCGTCTGAAGTTTGCTAGAGTGCATTTGGATGATCCAGAAGAGGATTGGGAGAATGTCATATGGTCAGATGAAACCAAAATAGAACTTTTTGGTAAAAACTCAACTCGTCGTGTTTGGAGGACAAAGAATGCTGAGTTGCATCCAAAGAACACCATACCTACTGTGAAGCATGGGGGTGGAAACATCATGCTTTGGGGCTGTTTTTCTGCAAAGGGACCAGGACGACTGATCCGTGTAAAGGAAAGAATGAATGGGGCCATGTATCGTGAGATTTTGAGTGAAAACCTCCTTCCATCAGCAAGGGCATTGAAGATGAAACGTGGCTGGGTCTTTCAGCATGACAATGATCCCAAACACACCGCCCGGGCAACGAAGGAGTGGCTTCGTAAGAAGCATTTCAAGGTCCTGGAGTGGCCTAGCCAGTCTCCAGATATCAACCCCATAGAAAATCTTTGGAGGGAGTTGAAAGTCCGTGTTGCCCAGCGACAGCCCCAAAACATCACTGCTCTAGAGGAGATCTGCATGGAGGAATGGGCCAAAATACCAGCAACAGTGTGTGAAAACCTTGTGAAGACTTACAGAAAACGTTTGACCTGTGTCATTGCCAACAAATGGTATATAACAAAGTATTGAGAAACTTTTGTTATTGACCAAATACTTATTTTCCACCATAATTTGCAAATAAATTCATAAAAAATCCTACAATGTGATTTTCTGGAAAAAAAAATCTCAATTTGTCTGTCATAGTTGACGTGTACCTATGATGAAAATTACAGGCCTCTCTCATCTTTTTAAGTGGGAGAACTTGCACAATTGGTGGCTGACTAAATACTTTTTTCCCCCACTGTAATCAGAATCACACAAACATGTTATTGTTATACTGTCATCCTGTATGCGCATTTCCATTCAGAAGACACAGCTATAGCAGGAATATGGTGCTAGGAATTGATTACTTAGACATGGCTTAACCAATATTCCCTGTGAAGCCTCTGTAGGCAGACAGGCAGGGTTTGGTAGGTTACTTTCTAAATGTTATCCGTTACAGTTATTAGTTAGGCCTACCTGAACAAAATTGCAATCAACATTCGGATTTCCCAAACTCAGTAACGTAATCAGATTACTTTCAGTTACTTTTAGATTACTTTCCCCTTAAGAGGCACATGTTAGTAGCTGGCACAGCCACAAAGTCATAAAATCTGATTTTAAACATAACCTTAACCATACTGCTAACCCTAATGCCTAACCCTAACCTTAAATTAAGACCAAAAAGCACATTATTGTTTTCATTGATTTTTACAATGCAGCTGGCCCATCTAGAGGAAATTGCTCAGTTTTGCCTCAAGGACAAGACTCATCCCAACAAATGTAAACCTGCTTAAGATGCATTAGAAGAAGACAAAAATGAATGACATCTATTGCAGGATAAATCAATGTTAGAGTTTACATAGCTGGCCATAAATGGATGTTGCATTTTACTTTATGGGTTGGTTATGTAGGCTTCTTCTTACCCATTGCTTTCTACTACAGATAATAATACGATCTTTACATTTTAAAAAAACATGGTCTGCCAGATTTCCAGTCATTCCAATTAATGTAATACCCCTTGATCTTCAAGAATAGGACTTGAAAATATGGAAATATAGATTAATATGGAAATATAGATTAGCCAGATGGTTTTATCTGAGCATAACCCAAAAACTAAGGACGAATTAGCCTAATCTGTTGTTTTTTATTTTGTTGTCACGGAGGACTGATTGGGCTCATTGCTTCGAGCTGCAAAAAAAAATGCTGCCCTCGGAATATCGTGCTTTGAGCACTACCGAAAGTGCTATTTGCATGTGAAAAACTAGATGGTAATTTTCCATGAAGAAAATAAAAGCGCCACTAGTGGTCTTCTTAAAATAAACTAGTTTTTGACAGTATGGAGCACAATACCACAAGGGAGTTTAGAAGGGATGAACTCAAACTTTTATTCCATAGGCTGGAATCCGCACTGCAGCTGTTGCAAGAGTGCATTTTTCCCTGGCTGTCCACTGGGGCGTATTCATTACTCCGATTCTGTTACAAAACGTTTCTTAAACGGAAGCAAACGGAACAAAACGGGGAGGGACCTATTTGTCCAATAGAAACTCTTGTTTTGCTCTGTTTGCTTCCATTTGGTTCTTAAACAGTAAATGGTTTCCGTAATGAATACACTCCTGATCGCAAAAACAATGATTGATAAGCAGTTTAAACTTCTTCAATTCAACCCTTATTGGGTTAAAATACACAGCATATACATTTGTGAACAGCCATCCACAACAACCACAATACGTAAGCCACAAATAAATGAGAGAGCAGCAGTGTGATTCACATCAATGCGCTTTGTAGCCTAGATATCAATAATAAGTGATAACAGTATCGCCAGTAAACTACTACCACTGCTGTCGTCCTTACCTCCAAGCGTTTATTGAAATTGGATCATCTTTGGATGACGACAGCAGTCGCACCATTGGAAGACATACTGTAGCTTGGCCTGTAGTTTAAAACAGGTTATTCCTGCTCTTTTCCCGCGAACCATCAAACGCATTTGGTGTCTTCATAGTGGTCTCTGATTTGTCGTCTGACTCGCTCAGGTTGAACAAATTTAAACAGGAGCCTTTTTTCAATTCTATTTCAATGTCATTGAGAAAACAGAAAGATGTCAAATAATTTTTGTGCAAACATCCTTTCTGAATTTAAAAGTAGTCCTAGAAGTAATCTAGTTCTTCAAAAGTATCTAATCTGATTACAATATTTTACTTAGTAACATACGGATTACAATTGGTAACGGATTACATATAATTACATGTAATCCATTACTCCCTAACCCTGCAGACAGATGTGTTTAAAGGGTTTACATGGTCCAGAAGACCTCTGAGCTCATACAGCTAATCATGTTTCCTTGCTGATCCTCTTTGCTGACAGCGAACTCTACAGCCAATTAACATCCTCTAACTGCAGCAGGCGCTGGCTAGGAAAGGGTTAACTCACTCACTGTCCAGTCAGGCCTTGATTTACTTGGTGGGTTTACTCTCTGTAAATGCAAAAAGTAACCTGCATATGTTTTAATACAAACATGTACTATGTACTAATAATTTAATAAAACCCTGTTTCATGTCCTGTTGTCTATGATCAACCAGTACTAAGTATCCATACTATTTGTCGATCCACGTAGGTTAAGAGGCACAGTATTTCAACCACTGAATGCAACAGTTCCAGTTCTGTCTGACATGATGTTTGGTTTTCAGGGTGTGTCTGTGCTACATAGCACATGGTCCTCACACAACACACATTTGTGCCATCAGCGGAAGTAATCTTACCTGCAGCCACCCACACGGTAAAGCGGATCCAGGTCATAGGGCTGAGCTTCAGCATTAGGAACACATTCATGAGGATGCTTGCACCAGGGATGAATGGGACCAAGGGTACCTAGAAAAAGGACAACAGCAAACAACCATCATTCTGACATGTATTAAAATGTGTGAAATAATCATAGACTTCCTCAATTCAATAAGTGTTTGTCATTGACAAAAAGGAAGCTGGAGAGCCTAAAAGACTACAAGTCTTGACTAAAATATTAAAAGTCCCAAAAGGAGCACTTAATATAATTCAGCAGAATGATCAGGTCTTAATGACAATATGTTATATTAGGTTGGTGCCAGAGGGAACCTGGGTCCTGCTTGAGCTCACAGAAACATCTGCTTCTCAGATATGAGTCACAGAAACAGCTTTTATTTTGTATGCGGAGCAGATCGACCACACAGCAGAGAGTGAGTGTCTGCTGTGACTCAGCTTCAGAGCTGGCTGATAATGTCACATTAAATGTTTCTCCCTGAGTTCCTGTCTACTGGGCTCTAGTAAGACTGAGTAGAATGTATCATATCTAAAGGTGGAGAGACAGCTACAAAAAAGGCTGTGAGAATCTTAAAACACACAGAGTATTCTTAGTTTATCATAACTACATAAGGACTTAGGGAAATATAACAGGCTATTTCCTCAAATAAAATGTTATTTGTCACATGCTTCATAAACTTCAATTGTAAACTAACAGTGAAGTGCAGTTTTTGACACAAACTGGTGCGCCTGGTACTACCATACCCCGTTTAAAGGCACTTACATTTTTTGTCTTGCCCATTCACCCTCTTAATGGCACACATACACAATCCTCAATTGTCTCAAGGCTTAAAAATCCTTATTTAGCCTGTCTCCTCCACTTCATCTAAACTGAATTAAGTGGGTTTAAAAAGTGACATCAATAAGGGATCATAGCTTTCACCTGGATTCACCTGGTCAGTCTATGTCATGGAAAGAGGAGGTGCTCTGAATGTTTTCTATACTCAGTGTGCACAGGGTACCAGTACTGAGTCGATGTACAGGGATCCGAGGTAATTGAGGTAGATATGTACAGTTGAAGTCTGAAGTTTACATACACCTTAGCCAAATATATTTAAACTCAGTTTTTCACAATTCCTGACATTTAATCCTAGTAAAAATTCCCTGTCTTAGGTCAGTTAGGATCACCACTTTATTTTAAGATTGTGAAATGTCAGAATAATAGTAGAGTGAATGATTTATTTCAGCTTTTATTTCTTTCATCACATTCCCAGTGGGTCAGAAGTTTACATACACTCAATTAGTATTTGGTAGCATTGCCTTTAAATTGTTTAACTTGGGTAAAATGTTTCGGGTAGCCTTCCACAAGCTTCCCACAATAAGTTGGGTGAGTTTTGGCCCATTCCCCCTGGCAGAGCTGGTATAACTGAGTCAGGTTTGTAGGCCTCCTTGCTCGCGCACGCTTTTTCAGTTCTGCCCACAAATGTTCTATAGAATTGAGGTCAGGGCTTTGTGATGGCCACTCCAATACCTTGACTTTGTTGTCCTTAAGCCATTTTGCCACAACTTTGGAAGTATGCTTGGGGTCAATGCTTTTTCAGTTCTGCCCACAAATGTTCTATAGAATTGAGGTCAGGGCTCTGAATTGAGGTCAGGGCTGTCTTTTAGGCTCTCCGTGGTCCTCTGTAGCTCAACTGGTAGAGCACGGCGCTTGTAACGCCAAGGTAGTGGGTTCGATCCCCGGGACCACCCATACACAAAAATGTATGCACGCATGACTGTAAGTCGCTTTGGATAAAAGCGTCTGCTAAATGGCATATTATTATTATTATTTATTATTATAATGTCCATTTGGAAGACCCATTTGCGACCAAGATTTAACTTCCTGAATGATGTCTTTAGACTTTGCTTCAATATATTCACATAATTTTCCTTCCTCATGATGCCATCTATTTTGTGAAGTGCACCAGTCCCTCCTGCAGCAAAGCACCCCCACAGCATGATGCTGCCACCCCCGTGCTTCGCGGTTGGGATGGTGTTCTTCGGCTTGCAAGCAACCCCCTTTTTCCTCCAAACATAACGATGGTCATTATGGCCAAACAGTTCTATTTTTGTTTTATCAGACCAGAGGACATTTCTCCAAAAAGTACGATCTTTGTCCCCATGTGCAGTTGCAAACCATAGTCTGGCTTTTTTATGGCGGTTTTGGAGCAGAGGCTTCTTCCTTGCTGAGCGGCCTTTCAGGTTATGTCGATATAGGACTAGTTTTACTGTGGATATAGATACTTTTGTACCTGTTTCCTCCAGCATTTTCACAAGGTCCTTTGCTGTTGTTCTGGGATTGATTTGCACTTTTCACACCAAAGTACGTTCATCTGTAGGAGACAGAATGTGTCTCCTTCCTGAGCGGTATGACGGCTGCGTGGTCCCATGGTGTTTATACTTGTGTACTATTGTTTGTACAGATGAACGTGGTACCTTCAGGCGTTTGGAAATTGCTCCGAAGTGATGAACCAGACTTGTGGAGGTCTACCATTTATTTTTCTGAGGTCTTGGCTGATTTCTTTGGATTTTCCCATGATGTCAAGCAAAGAGCCTGAGTTTGAAGGTAGGCCTTGAAATACATCCACAGGTACACCTCCAATTGACTCAAATGATGTCAATTAGCCTATCAGAAGCTTCTAAAGCCATGACATCATTTTCTGGAATTTTCCAAGCTGTTTAAAGGCACAGTCAACTTAGTGTATGTAAACCTCTGACCCACTGGAATTGTGATACAGTGAATTATAAGTGAAATAATCTGTCTGTAAACAATTGTTGGAAAAATTAGTTGTGTCATGCACAAAGTAGATGTCCTAACCGACTTGCCAAAACTATAGTTTGTTAACAAAAAATAGTTAACCAAATATCTACCCGGACTAACTATTTAGCAGTCTTATGGCTTGGGGGTAGAAGTTTTTCATGTTCCTGTTGGTTCCAGACTTGGTGCATCAGTACTACTTGCCGTGCGGTAGCAGAGAGAACAGTCTATGGCTTGGGTGGCTGGAGTCTTTGACAATTTTTAGGCCCTTCCTCTGACACCGCCTGGTTTTGAGGTCCTGGACGGAATGGAGCTCGGCCCCAGTGATGTACTGGGCCATACGCACTACCCTCTGTAGCGCCTTGCGGTTGGATGCCAAGCAGTTGCCATACCAAGCGGTGACGCAGCCAGTCAAGATGCTCTCAATGGTGCAGCTGTATAACTTTTTGAGGATCTGAGGGCCCATGCCAAATCTTTTCAGCCTCCTAAGGGGGAAGAGGTATTGTCGTGCCCTCTTGACGACTGTGTTGGTGTGTGTGGAACATGATAGATCCTTAGTGATGTGAGGAACTTGAAGCTCTCGACCCGCTCCACTACAGCCCTATCGATGTGAATGGGGGACTTGCTCGGCCCTCCATTTCCTGTAGGTCATGATCAGCTCCTTTGTCTTGCTGACGTTGAGGGAGAGGTTGTTGTCTCTGACCTCTCTATAGGCTGTCTCATTGTTGTCGGTGATCAGGCCTACCAGGTCATGTCGTCGGCAAACTTAATGATTGTGTTGGAGTTGTGCGGGCCACGCAGTCTTGGTGAACAGGGATTAAGCACGCACCCGTGTTGATTGTCAGCGTGGCGGATGTGTTGTTCCCTACCCTCACCACCTGGGGGGTGGCCCGTCAGGAAGTCCAGGATCCAGTTGCAGAGGGAGGTGTTCAGTCCCAGCGTCCTTAGCTTAGTGATGAGCTTGGAGGGCACTCTGGTGTTAAACACTGAGCTGTAGTGAATAAACAGCATTCTCTCATAGGTGTTCCTCTTGTCCAGGTGGGAATGGGCAGTGTGGAGTATAATAGAGATTGCATCATCTGTGGATCTGTTGGGGCGGTATGCAAATTGGAGTGGGTCCAGGGTGTCTGGGATGATGGTGTTGATGTGAGCCATGACCAGCCTTTCAAAGCATTTCATGGCTACAGATATGAGTGCTACGGGGCGATAGTCATTTAGACAAGTTACCTTGGCGTTCTTGGGCATAGGGACTATTTTACATTTACATTTTAGTCATTTAGCAGACACTCTTATCCAGAGCGACTTACAGTTAGTGAGTGCATACATTTTCATACTGGCCCCCCGTGGGAAACGAACCCACAACCCTGGCGTTGCAAGCGCCATGCTCTACCAACTGAGCTACAGGGGACTATGGTGTTCTGCTTGAAACTCTGCAGGCAGACAAAATTATACAACTAATAATTATAAGGTGAGGGTTTAGTTCTGCTTCCCTAACTTTATGTGTAGGCATATTCAATAAAGTAAAAGTAAACTGCTTTGCATTTACACAGCAGACATAACATGCAAAACTGAGAATCTGTTTGGCTCACCTGGAAGGTTTTGGTGTTGATATGAGGTTCATGGGCATATATAATGACCAGGCTGATGAGGAAGGTTGAGCCAAACACCACTATTAGCAGGGCGAAGCTCCACGTAGGCAGCTGCAGCTGGTTACTCCCAAACACAAACACGGCACAGAGGGACACAGAGCTCACCATCACCGCCAGCACAGAGAAGGCCACCACCTCCCCCGGCTCAAAGTCCCCCAGCACCCTGCCCAGGTAGGGCTCCCAGCGGGCCTTCAACACCCCTGGGGCGCTGCGTTCCCTGGTCTTCTGCATCTCCACCAGCTGTAACTTGTCTGAGAAGGACTCGTACTCCTTCAGCTCCCCGCTATCCTGAGCTATGATCTGGGACTCTGAGGCTTCGGGCGAGAGCTCTGGGTTGGAGTTGGGGTTGGGGGAGGTAGTGGAGTTAGCCTTGGAACTGGTCTTCTCCTTCTCAGGCTGGAAGCGCAACACAATGACACTGGCTGCCACAAAGGTGTAGGCCAGGAGGGTGCCGATGGACAGGAACTGGACCAGGGCCTCCAGGTCAAAGATGAGGGCCATGACGGCCATGAGGAGGCCAAACACCAAGATGGCATTCACAGGGACCTTGGTGACAGGGTTGACCTTGGCGAAGAAGGAGAAGAAGAGGCCATCCTCCGCCATAGCGTAAACAATCCGAGGGAGGGAGAAGAGGTTGCTGAGGAGCACCGTGTTCATGGCTGGAAGAGGGGATGGACAGAGAGTCACATGATTATCAATGCAATCAAAACAGAGAGCTACTGTATGAAGTCAAGATAAATAAAAGTCATACACATTTGCCCTTCAATCAATGATATCATCAACTAACCCAAAGAAACTCAATGACATGATACATTGGTGTGGTTACAGTGGCTAAGTCTTTCAAGAGACACTTACCACAGATGGACCCTACTGCCACGATGTAGCCAGCCCAGCTGTAGCCTCTGCGGAAGAATGCATCAGACAGGGCTGAGTTGGGGTCGAGGGAGTGCCAGGGCACCATGAGAGTGAGGACAGTGGAGACCAGGATGTAGGCTGTGGCTGCCATGCACAAGGAGATGGCTGTGGCCATGGGAATGGCTCGCTGGGGGTTCTTTGCCTCCTCACTGGAGGCTGCAATCACATCGAAGCCAACAAATGCGTAAAAGCAGGTGGCTGTGCCCGCCATCACCCCAGACACACCGAACGGTGCAAAACCTCCTTCTTTCTGGCTCCAGTTGACTGGGTCGGCCAGCATGAAGCCAAACACCAAGATGAAGAGTATGACAACCAGACTAACGGCGGAGAAGATGTGGTTGAGCCAAGAGGAGACTCGCACTCCGAAGGTTATGAAGATGGTGGCAACCACTAGAATTGCGGCGGCCAGCAGGTCAGGGTAGTGGGCGATATAGGGAACATTCCACTTCATTATGTAGTTCTCTGTGTAGTTCTGGATAGTGTGGTTAAACATGGAGTCCAGGTAACCACTCCACGCCCGCGCCACCGCGGCCCCACCAATCATGTACTCCAACACTACGTTCCAGCCAATGAGAAAGGCCCAGATCTCTCCACAAGAAACATAAGTGAACATGTAGGCTGAGCCCGTTCTGGGCACGCGAGCTCCGAACTCTGCATAGCAGAGGGCGGCCATCAGGGAGGCAATGCCTGCTATGAGGAAGGAGAGGACCACGGCAGGTCCGGCGGTGTCCTTGGCCACAGTGCCAGTCAGGACGTAGAGGCCAGAGCCCACCATGCCCCCAACACCCAGCAGGGCCAGGTCCACCATGGTCAGGCAGCGCTTCATTGACGTCACCATCAAGTCATCATCCAGGGTCTTCAGTCGGTTCAGCCTTTGGCAGAAACGCACTGCTGGGATGCAGCCACGCCCGCAGGTCGCCATGGTTACAGGATCCCACTCAGCAATTTATCAGTCAAGATCTTATCAGTGAAGATGCTCAAACTGGATCCATTCTCCTCCTGATCAACTGACCTGAGAGACAAAATTATATATACATACTAGGGCTGCACGATATATTGTTTCAGCATTGACATTGCGATGTATGCATCCGCAATAGTCACATCTCAGAACATGCGATTTAGTAAGGTAAACATATATCAGTCTACAATATATATATATTTTAAATGTTAAACTAGCATTATATCTGTCTAATATAACGTAATTTACTCCGATTTATGGGTTATTGGATACACAGTTTATTATTATTATTATTATTTTAAACACGGAGTTCGTTGCTGCACGTGGTTGACATGCAGCCTCTGCTTGCGCGTGACGAAATGATGAGCGAGGAACAGGCGAAAAAGACCGAAATTGAGAATTTGGTTGCAAAAAGAAATGCGTCGTCAATTATATGGAAATATTTCGGCTACAGACAGGATGATGTTGACCAAAAACAAGTACTTTGTCGAAAGTGCCTTGCAATTGTTGCAACAACACGAGGCAACACGACAAATTTGTTCGATCATTTAAGGCGGCAGCACAAATCTTCGTATGACATTTACATTCACATTTACATCATTTAGCATACGCTCTTATCCAGAGCAAAGCATATCAATGCCCTCCAAAGCAAAAATCTATTTCGGATGCCTTTGCCAGTATTACACCATACCAGAAAGGTTCCAAACGGCAGAGAGAAATCACAGATTCAATAACATTTCACGTCGCCAAAGACATGGTACCAATTAACACGGTTACCAAATAGGGTTTTAAAAACATGATCCGGTCGTTTGACAAGCGGTATGTAATGACATCACGCAACTATTTTTCTCAAGTTGCCATCCCAGAGTTGTACGAGAAATGCAAGGCACAAGTTGAAACAGAGCTGTCACAAGTGGAATATTATACAGCAACAACGGACTTGTGGTCCAGCCGGACAACAGAGGCCTACATAAGTCTGACCATACACTTTATTAATGAGGACTTCCACCTGAAAAGTCGCTGTTTGCAAACTGCATTTTCCCCAGAGGATCATACAAGTGAGAACATCGCAACAGGGATGAGAGAAGCTGTAGCTGATTGGGGCCTAGATGAGAGTCATTTGTAATGTAATAAAATGTTAAATGACTTTTTGATTTGATTTTGTCATTCACATTAATTCCCTATTGTGATAATGAAACTTCCTCCGTAGAGAATGCTCTGTTTTAACCTGGTTGGAGTACTGAGATACAGCCTCCTGTAATCTCCTGGATCCCTTATAGACACCACACCTCTTCATTCACAAATGAGCCCCTTTATTGTAGGGTAAGCAACATGCATTATTAATATCATAACATGTTAGATCATTGACTTTAGCCTGAATTGATAGAAGAGTATTACATGAATACAATAGAACCATGGTGAATTAAACAGTGTATTAATTAATAGAATAAATTAAACTACCCAAAATAAGTCAAAAGGTAAAAAGTCATATTCAGTTATATTTTTTAATTGTTATTTTCCATGAAGATGCAGTTCCCTACAAAATCACCCCGATCATTCTAGAATAATTAATTATTCTCAAATAGAGCTTTTCAAGTCATCTGGTGAAGACATCCTGTATTTTTTCATATCGCAATATATATCAGAAAAACTAAATATCGCAATGTCAGTTATTTCCAATATCATGCAACCCTAATACATACCATCATACAGGGACAAAGCCTGTGACTTCAGAGCAGGTAGACAAAAGCAACTCATCCTAATGAGGGCTCCATCTAACCTTTATCTGAGTGACTCCATCCCCTCACCACTGCTGCCTGATATCCTATTTCTGAGCATGCTGCATTTCACCTCTGCCCTCATCAAAGGTGGAAACTATTGCTTTTTTATTTTTTAGAATAGAAGACTATTATTCTTCAACTTGACTTATTAGGATAGCTTGATACATTTCAGTTAGGACTATCTGAGTAATGTAAAATCTATAAATAGGCATATCTATAAATGATGCAATTTAATAAATGTGTTAAAATATATCATTTTGTCTATTACTGATTAATAACTGCCCATGATAAAGAGATCTGTTTGATCTGCTCTGACTGTTTGACATGTCTTCTATTCACTTGCAGTCCAATATTGAAGGTAATAGGCCTATTGTAGCCTATGTAAGGCTATATTCAGCTTTCATCCTACGAAGTGTCCGATATCGCAGCAAATAAAAGTAGCCTAACCATACACACAACTGTTTGGGTAGGTTAAACGCTGCGGATCCAAAATCAATAATCAAAGGCTACGCTTTATGTGATAGAATGGGACCAGCCCGGTATCCAACTCTTTCTGATGTACCGTTTCCGATTACTGTGCGCAGCAGGCATATGGCGAGTTCTGCCGCCCTCAATGCTAGAAATAAATTACGTAAAGCTTTTATTCCCTACTAAAATAAACACCAACACAGAGTGAAGCGACCCATACATCCGTCCTCGATAATAACTGTGATTCGTGTAATAATTGGATTCATGGCGAGAATGAATCGCTTTATGTGCGTCGTTTTCACAAAAGCCAACCACATTAATAATTTATAACAAAATGGAAACTCATGCAAATGTTATTAATGACAAACTATAAGCTATTTCAATAAAGCGATAGCAATTGCTGATTATTCTATGAAATTGTACTTGTCTGCGTTTTATATCTTTTTTTTTTATTATGGCACGAACAAGGTGTTGGAATAGATAGATTATGGCAAAAGCCAGGGGAGAAACTCAACCATTACTGCTATTCTGTATATATAGTCTAATATATTTGATTTAAAAAACGTTATAATATGGTAACAAATAAATGTATTTGTTTACCTTGAATGCTGAATATCTCAGGCCCGGTTGATATCCTTTGAAACCCGCAACGACAGACAGGAAGGAAAGTGTAGAACGAGAGGATAAAGAGCTGAGCTCTCGATTCTTAAAGGCACAGTACGAGTTTATTGTTCATCTGATGATGATGGGATCAGCCATCAGACAAGATCATGCGGAAGGCCAGCGTTTAAAGGTCCAATGCAGCCGTTTTTAAAAATCTTAATTTCAAATCATTTCTGGGTAACAATTAAGTACCTCACTGTGATTGTTTTCAATCAAAATGGTCAAAAAGAAACAAAAATAGCTTCTTAGCAAATAGCAATTTCTCAAGCAAGAAGTTTGCTAGGACTGTCTGGGAGTGGTCTGAGTGGGGAGGGGAAGCCTGCTGTCACCAAGCAGGCCAAAACTCCATCCCACCAAAACAGGCTGAAATTTCAGGCGGTATTTTCAAACAGCTCTTATGCTAAAAGAGTATTATCATTTTTACAATTTCACAGTATTATTATAGTGTGGAAATATATATAAAACACAGGAAAATCACATTTTTGACTGGACTGTAACATAGGCCTAAATCAAAAGTGTTGGTTTTCATCTACCATAATAACAATAACTGGATGCTACAGTATCAGCATACAAATGATATTCAAATCATCTAAGTTTGTATAGTACTAGATACGTTTTAATACCTTTTAACCAATGTTTTGTCTATTGTCACTCAACTAGACTAATAATGAAACAATGAGTCACAATAATCAGAATAAATACTTTTTAATTCATGAACACATTTTACAGTGGCCAAAATCATGGTAAACATGTAATGTTGATAAACATGAATAACATTTTTGTAAAAAAATTATAATCACAAACATGATAAGTTGGATGAATAAGATTACTTATTTCAATTTTGCATCTGTGTGACTGAGTGGCCAAATGGAAAAGTATCTACAGCCTTCAGTGATTCTTCAAATTCCTGCACTCTCATCACAGCCCCATTGTCATCCAGAATCAGTGATTTCTACATAGAATCACAAAGAAATACAACTTCTTGGTTTTCACGTGCATTGAAGAGAACACACACAGCCCCTGAGGACATGAACCTGAACATGTTGGAAGTGAATGTGAATCCTGAGCCCTGCTCAAGCGCTCACTAACAAGAGGACAGGATGCTCTTGTATCTATCCACTCTTGGATATGCTTTTTTGTATCCAGTGCTTTAACACAATCAGATCCTGTCTGTCAGTCTGTCTGTCTCTCAGGACAAGCCTCCTGACTGGGACTCTTTCTGTTGAAGTTTAAGTATAATTTCCAGCTGGTTCATCTGCATCATCAACTCCTCCAATGACAAGAAGGGAACATGAAACCGCAGAGCCATTACATACCTAGTTATACACTTGATGTGTAACTTTTGCCAGGCACTAGTGACACGCTGCCATTGTCGTGCTTCCATTGAAACAGCTTAAAACCTACAATAATGGGCTGCTTTGGCTGCACATACAGTGTAGCAGGGCTATTACAATTGTGGAGAGAAAGCCTCTACCACCATCTACTGGACATTGTCTTGCACTGCAATCTGTGTTTCACCCCTTGACCCCACTGGCGGTGTACTTAGCTTCCAACACTTTAAACTGCAGAACAAATAATTCTCTCTAGAATTCAAGGCACATATTTCACTAAATAATCAGGATTACTTCAACATTAGAATGATGACAAACTATATCTATCATATTTCTTTGAATAGACATTTCTTTGAATAGACATCAGGTTAATCAATTTATAACATTGTTGACATGTGTTTTTCTGGATTTTGTTGTTCTTATTCTGTCTCTCACTGTTCAAATAAACCTACCATTAAAATTATAGACTGATAATTTCTTTGTCAGTGGGCAAATGTACAAAATCAGCAGGGGATCAAATACTTTTAAATATTTGTTTAAATATTTAAACACAAAATGCAACAATTTCAAAGATTTTACTGAGTTACAGTTCATATAAGGAAATCAGTCAATTGAAATAAATTAATAAGGCCCTAATATATGGATTTCTTATGACTGGGAACAAATACCTTTTAAAAAAAGGTAGGGGCGTGGACCAGAAAACCAGTCAGTATCTGGTGTGACCGCCATTTGCCTCATGCAGCGCGACACATCTCCTTCGCATAGAGTTGATCAGGCTGTTGATTATGGCCTGTGAAATGTTGTCCCACTCCTCTTCAATGGCTGTGCAAAGTTGCTGGATATTGGCGAGAACTTGAACACGCTGTCGTACACGTCGATCCAGAGCATCCCAAACATGCTCAATGGGTGACATGTCTTGTGAGTATGCATGCCATGGAAGAACTGGGACATTTTCAGCTTCCAGGAATTGTGTATAGATCCTTGCGACATGGGGCTGTGCAATGTCATGCTGAAACATGAGGTGATGGCGGTGGATTATTGGCACCACAATGGGCCTCAGGGTCTCATCACGGTATCTTTGTGCATTCAAATTGCCATCGATAAAATGCAGTTTATGCCTGCCAATGCCATAAACCCACCGCTACCATGGGGCTCTCCTTTCACAACGTTGACATCAGCAAACCGCTCGCCCACATGACGCAGTACACGTGGTCTGCGGTTGTGAAGCCGGTTGGACGTACTGCCAAATTCTTTAAAACGACGTTGGAGGCGGCTTATGGTAGAAAAATGAACATTAAATTCTCTAGCAACAGCTCTGGTGGACATTCCTGCAGTCAGCATGCCAATTGCACGCTCCCTCAAAACTTGAGACATCTGTGGCCTTGTGTTGTGTGACAACACGGCACATTTTAGAGCTGCCTTTTATTGTCCCCAGCACAAGGTGCACCTGTGTAATGGTCTTGCTGTTTAATCAGCTTTTTGATATGCCACACCTGTTAGGTGGATGGATTGTCTTGTCAAAGGATAAATGTTCACTAACAGGGATGTAAACAAATTTGTGCACAACATTGTAGAGAAATAAGCTTTTTGTGCTAATGGAACATTTCTGGGATCTTTTATTTCAGCTCATGAAACATGGGACCAACATTTTACATTTTGCGTTTATATTTTTGTTCAGTGTATATACAGTGGGGAGAACAAGTATTTGATACACTGCCGATTTTGCAGGTTTTCCTACTTACAAAGCATGTAGAGGTCTGTAATTTTTATCATAGGTACACTTCAACTGTGAGAGATGGAATCTAAAACAAAAATCCAGAAAATCACATTGTATGATTTTTAAGTAATTAATTTACATTTTATTGCATGACATAAGTATTTGATCACCTACCAACCAGTAAGAATTCCGGCTCTCACAGACCTGTTAGTTTTTCTTTAAGAAGCCCTCCTGTTCTCTACTCATTACCTGTATTAAGTGCACATGTTGAACTCGTTACCTGTATAAAAGACACCTGTCCACACATTCAATCAAACAGACTCCAACCTCTCCACAATGGCCAAGACCAGAGAGCTGTGTAAGGACATCAGGGATAAAATTGTAGACCTGCACAAGGCTGGGATGGGCTACAGGACAATAGGCAAGCAGCTTGGTGAGAAGGCAACAACTGTTGGCGCAATTATTAGAAAATAGAAGAAGTTCAAGATGACGGTCAATCACCCTCGGTCTGGGGCTCCATGCAAGATCTCACCTCGTGGGGCATCAATGATCATGTGGAAGGTGAGGGATCAGCCCAGAACTACACGGCAGGACCTGGTCAATGACCTGAAAAGAGCTGGGACCACAGTCTCAAAGAAAACCATTAGTTACACACTACGCCGTCATGGATTCAAATCCTGCAGCGCACGCAAGGTCCCCCTGCTCAAGCCAGCGCATGTCCAGGCCCGTCTGAAGTTTGCCAATGACCATCTGGATGATACAGAGGAGGAATGGGAGAAGGTCATGTGGTCTGATGAGACAAAAATAGAGCTTTTTGGTCTAAACTCAACTCGCCGTGTTTGGAGGAAGAAGAAGGATGAGTACAACCCCAAGAACACCATCCCAACCGTGAAGCATGGAGGTGGAAACATCATTCTTTGGGGATGGTTTTCTGCAAAGGGGACAGGACGACTGCACCGTATTGAGGGGAAGATGGATGGGGCCATGTATCGCGAGATCTTGGCCAACAACCTCCTTCCCTCAGTAAGAGCATTGAAGATGGGTCGTGGCTGGGTCTTCCAGCATGACAACGACCCGAAACACACAGCCAGGGCAACTAAGGAGTGGCTCCGTAAGAAGCATCTCAAGGTCCTGGAGTGGCCTAGCCAGTCTCCAGACCTGAACCCAATAGAAAATCTTTGGAGGGAGCTGAAAGTCTGTATTGCCCAGCGACAGCCCCGAAACCTGAAGGATCTGGAGAAGATCTGTATGGAGGAGTGGGCCAAAATCCCTGCTCCAGTGTGTGCAAACCTGGTCAAGACCTACAGGAAACATATGATCTCTGTAATTGCAAACAAAGGTTTCTGTACCAAATATTAAGTTCTGCTTTTCTGATGTATCAAATACTTACGTCATGCAATAAAATGCAAATTATTTTCTTAAAAATCATACAATGTGATTTTCTGGATTTTTGTTTTACATTCCGTCTCTCACAGTTGAAGTGTACCTGTGATAAAAATTACAGACCTCTACATGCTTTGTAAGTAGGAAAACCTGCAAAATCGGCAGTGTATCAAATACTTGTTCTCCCCACTGTATGTGTATATAAGTGTACAGTACCTGTTAGATATTGGGGGCATCCTGGGATGTGCTTTTGTCTGTTGTTGCTGTAAGAGCGAGTTAGCTAGCATGCTTGAGATGTAATTTCGCATTAGCCCCTGCTAATTCAGTTATTTCCATGCTAACATACGAATCACGAATCTACAGCCATCAACATACTGTTGCCCTGCACATCTAATGTGCTTCCTTGTGTCTATCGTCCGAACAAACACCAATCAACTGGGATCACTGGCTGGACAGTCCTTTCTTTAAAAACAAGCAAGACAGTTACGAAGTACGATCACATCTGTTACACTGTCTTCTTCTTGTCTTCGCAGGACATCTGTCACAGAGGCACACAATGACATTGCACCATTATGTTCATGTATCTAACATATGCACTAGAATGTACATGTACAAAGTGTTGATTCAACTGGGGATTGGTGGTTATGTAGAACCCTGGGACTATAGAAATCAACTCTGTGATATAGAAGGAGGGATGTTTGGGATCATTGAAAAGCACATCAATAACGTGTTTGCAGTCAGTGCACAAACTGAATTTTAATAATGGCATGATGCTTTGTCAATTTCATACTTCTGTTTCTCCTTGTTTATTTGTTTTCCTAACTGCAAGGTTGTGTGACTTGCAAACCTGTAGGGCTTCTTTATGCTTACGAACCAAATCCTGCTTGAGTACTGGGCATGAGGAAGATAATATTGAGACATTGTAATGGTGAAAGACCTCAGATCCCTTGTATAATGCCACACTAACATACACTCAAATGTTTTTTGATCAGACAGAGAACATGTGAAACCTAAAGAGAGAGAGAGAGAGAGACCTAGATGCTCACGGTGCAGCTTTTGTCTCTGGTTATACAGATTCCTCCCAGTCAGGTGCTGGATATCCAGGAGTCCCTGTACTATATTATACACTGTTCCATCTATGAGTCCCAGAGCCAGGTCACTCAGTGTGGTGTAGGACAGGCACTGCTGGAAGGAGCTGGACATGGGGGTAAAACAGTTAACAGAGATTAGTTCCTGGACCTGGAAACAGAGGTCAAGTCCAGTTTCTGTAACCCCTGGGGTGTATTCACTAGGAACCAAACAGACCGAAACAGCAAGGGACTACCTAAAAATTCTGACATGCTTCTGACATCTAACAACTGTAAATAGCTAGGAACCATGAATGCACATAAGACATGGGGAGAATCTCAATTTAATTTTCTTGATTCCTCGTGTCCTCTCTCCTCACCTTCTCAAAACATAAGGTCTATGGGGCGGGACATCTGACCTTCTCATCCAATGGGTTTTGAATTGAAGAGGCAGTGAGGAAAGAGGAAGCTAGAAATAAAGGAAATGCAATTGAGATTCTCCCATGATGCTGGGTTGGGATGGTTACTGGGCAAATCTTTGACAAGGGTTTGTAGTTCTGATGTATGGGGGAGTTGAGTTTTCTCAGCTAGCTCCGAGCTAGCAATCCATCATGCTTGCTAACTAGCTAGCTTCACTCTCAGCCATAGCATAGGTTATTGGCATTTAGCAAACCTTTTACTGTAAAAGCTTTGAGGAACCACATAGGTACATAGTTATCTTTAGAAGTTCATCAAAATGTAGTCTATACAAAGTAGTGTGCATTTCTGCTGCATTTCTGCTGAAGCTGGAGGCTAGCAAACAGGCGTTGCAGGCAAGCGACTGATGCTCGGATGCTCTGCCTGTGGAAGGACTGAAAAGTCTAAAAGGAATCCTTGGGACCACAGGAGACTGCTGAGGGGAGGACGGCTCATAATAATGGCTGGAACAGAGCAAATGGAATGGCATCAAACACATGGACACCATATGTTTGATACCATTCCACAAATTCTTCTCCAGCTATTACCACAAGCCAGTCCTCCCCAATGAAGGAGACACCAACCTCCTGTGCTTGGGACATCTCAACTCTGACATCACCCCACTGAAGTTGACATTTAAAATGGTTAAGGTTAGGATAAGGGTAGCGGTTATGGTTTAGGGTTGGAATGTCCCAAGGATTCCTATTAGATCTACCCATGGAAGGGTTTGTTGTCTATAAGATACCTGCTTGTAATTCACATTTTATTAGCAAAGATAAGTTAAATGTAAATATTTAACTATTATTTTACAGAAACAAAAGCGTGTGGGGGGCGCGAGAAATAGCAGGAGCTAAATTCATCCGCCAGATGACGCGCGCTGCACACTGTCAATCGAGTGAAGATTCTACAGGCGAGCAGATGAGCATCGCTGATACTTGAGGGTTTCCAGCTGTGGTTGACCGTGTCGTGTGTAATTTCGGCAAGTCGTGTGTAGGTTGATGAGACGTCAATGACGCATAAAGATGTATAGTTTAAAAAAAAAAGTAGCTACTGCAATTTTTTTTTGTAAAATAGGAGTAGGCTATAGATTACAAATGCTAATTTCATCTGGAACTGCAAAAAGAACGCATGGGATTATTATTTTCTTCAAAGGGCACAAATTAGGAAAGTAAATGACAGTCGGTAAATGTATATTTAGTAATTGGTACGATACTTTACAAATGTAGTTTTTCTTTGGGTTGTTTCCGCCCAAACATTTTACAACATTGTTTGTTTATAGTGACCTTACTCTTATAAGTTTGCAACGTGGCTGTTAATTATGTATCTAATAAGCCTACTGTACATTGCAAACGATACATCAGTGATTATAACATGGGCATGATACGCCGTCACGCGCAAAAGGTGCAGGAATTGAAGAGTACCCAGTTGTGAGGAGGCGTGCACTATAGGGAGCAACGTTGAAAGGATCGCGGATGTGCAAATTAAAATAAGTGGCAAAACCATTCTCTTTTGTCAAAAATGGCCAAAAATACATCCCTATATTTCCGTATTGTAGAGGGCAGGAGCCTACCAGCCAAAGACGTGTAAGTATGTCTTAATTGTACTTATGCAACAGGCAGCAATTACTCCTATTTGCTTATTTATAGGTTTCTCGTGTGAAGTACACTAATACTAGGATGTGCACTTGTTTGAAGTTAAGAATACCTTTGTTTTACAGCACTAATTGAGATATTAGTGTGGTAAAATGTGACTACAAGTAGCCTAGACTTGACAGGCGTTTAAGATATTTATATCAATAATGTATTTAGCAACTGATAAGGGAAGAACATATCTGTTTCCTCTGCTACCTTCATTCCATGTTAAACATATTTATTTTTTTATCTGTCAAGCTCTGGGACAAGTGACCCATACTGCATTGTAAAAGTTGACAATGAAGTTGTGGCCAGGTGAGTCCATCATATTAGTCCTATGCATTCTTGTTTTGTTTGACTGTTTTATGACCATAAATGCGATTGATATATGAGCTAAACGTTTACTTCAGAATTGTATGTGACAGCAAGTGGCATGCTGCTGCCAAAAACATTAAAACTGATAGGGCACTACTGTTAATGCCATGGCAAAACATATTTATCAGTTCAAAGGAAACCGTGTTGAATCATGTTGTCCTTACTATAGACTATGCCAAACCTCTGATTGCTCTCACACACGTTGAATTCAGAACAGGATAAGAACAGGATGTATAATGAAGGAGTGGGTTGCTGGACTTTGGGTGCCCCGCTATGTTTTATATAGGCTAGCAGGGCAGGGGTGTGGTATAGTAGGCTAGGTGTGTGATCACTGATAAGGACTGTGGTGTTCTTAGCTTGAGCCCCCCAAGCGCAATTGAACCTGATCCAGGGCTGGCCTTTAAGACACCAGTAGGTAACCATGGAGAGGAGGCATAAATTATTGCAGGGAGCTCCCATTCCCGGCTCCAGGCAGGGACATGGAAGGCTGATGGTATGTGTTTATGCAGCGCATTGCCCTGGGTTTGGCTGTGTGTGTGTTCACACAAGTGTACTCTGTATATAAATGTCCCATATGTTTCATTTGTTGTCTTTTGGGGATGATGTACCCCCCTCTGCTGGGTCATTACCTGTCGCTTTGTCCTCATGTGGAACGACTAACGAGTTAATCGAGACTCCTGGCTAATCAAGACTCCCGACACTCCCGACACCTCTTTCCTGACAAACTGTATCAAAATGTATGCACTCACTAACTGTAAGTCGCTCTGGAGAAGAGCGTCTGCTAAATGACTAAAATGTAAAATGTAATGTTTCAGCGGTTTATAAAATGCATTCATTTTGTCTTTTAATTTAGTTGATTCCTCTCCCATAATGAGAGGAGTTGGACGGTTGACTGACTGCAGAGATCTGCATCAGTCTCTGGCTATCTCATTATCAGCTCACTGACTCATTGATTGTGTGCTTTCTGGATGCCTTGGTGCTTTGACCCTGCTGTGGGGTAATGGTGTCTGGAAAAACAGAGTTTCATTATAATAAATGGATGCACGTTGCTGATGAAAATAGACCTTCCTGCTACCCATTGGCATAGAGGACATGATGTAGATGTCATTCCTCAATTCCATGTCTAGACAGCAGGTTTGCAATCTCCAGTTTATGGTTAGAGCATTTGCAGTAGTTAATGTTTCATAATGAAAAGATTGAATAAGAATGATTGCATATAGACTTGTATTTTGTTATTCTACACACTGCCTTTTGAAGTTATTGCATTGTTATTCTGTCACTGTTTCATTACTTTCAACACATTACAATATTCCCCACACAACCTTAATTGTAAATTGTCATCTTTCATTGTTACTGACCTTCACAATGAAAGGGATTATGGTTATGAATAAGAAATAAGGGTCATGCAGTACTTTCTGTGGTTATGGTCACTATTATTTGCACCCTTACCTTGCAGGACAGCCACAGTGTGGAAGAACCTCAACCCTTTCTGGGGAGAAGAATACACACTGCACCTCCCAACGGGGTTCCACTCTCTCTCCTTCTATGTCATGGATGAGGACACCATTGGGTAAGATTGTCTTTAACATCTGTCAGAGAGAATTCAGATAATTATTGTAGTGTTTCTGTGTCAACAAACTAGTTGATAATGGTGTATAAACAGGTTATATCTAAATAACCTGTAAAGTTATCATAGTTTTGTAATTGAAGAGATGTTCATGATTGTGTTGGCTTGTTTACCAGAGGCTGTAAATTTAGAGTTTTGTACCCAGACTGACTGGGTGAAGAACCATGGATGTGGGTTTTGGAAAAACCTGCATGCCTTGAATAAACGAACATCAACACACAGATGGTACCACAGATTGAGAAATGAAATACTACCTCAGTCTCCTGATCAACAACCTTCTCAGTCTATGCATATATTCTTACTGTTTTATGAGGTCATTTTATAGGATGTTAAGTCCTTTTTTGAGAAATACCTCTTGTGAAGACTTTTATTTTAAATGATATGTTTTTGTTAATTATGGCATATGTTCTCCCTTTTTTTTGGCCTAGCCATGATGACGTTATTGGAAAGATATCGCTGAGCAAAGACGCCATCGGGGCCAAGGTTAAAGGTAAACCTGATCACTATATGTCACAATACTGTTTGTGACTTTAAATGAGTGGGTGGCACTGAGGTGACGGGAAAAACTACCAGCACAGAAACACTTCTAAATGCTTATTGATTTATAGAATTGCAGTGCTGCGGTTGATATCTGTGGGTCTGCTTCTCTGTCTATGCCATGCTAGAGAGGGCAAACCAAAAGAGCAAAGGGTCACCAGAGAGGGGTTATTCCCATGACTCTGAGTAAGGCTCTGCCATGTAGGTCACTGTGATTGAAGAGCTGGGTCTGTTTTACATCCTGTTGCTGGGAAAGGTTGCTAGTATATTCTCACAAATCCATAGGTTAATTTAGAGATTCATTTTTCTGACTGCTATGCTTGTTAGTTTGCTCACATACTATTCTCTACTGATTTGTCCCTATGAGCCAAACAGCTTCCTTCTCATTGGACAGCGTACAGAGAGAGAGAGAATGGCCTGTACATGGTTACATTTGTTTGCAGGATTGCTCCTTGAATCAGGGTTTGCATCAACTCCAGGATCATTCATTGTACAGTGCAGCTGTCCTTT